AAATGGGGTTGGATCTTGTTCCAAGTTCTCAACAAATGAAAATACTCCTGTTATCTGGCTGAAATGCGAAATGCGAGTCATGAGTTAAAATATTGCTTCATATGTTGTTGGTTCAATGGATGTATTTTTGGCATGCACTGTTGCAGGCGAAAGGTTTTGTGTCTTGCTATGAGCAGAATATACCTCATTGGACAAATAGTAAATAGACCAGCCACAGCAGTTGTTATTGCATCAGTCTCGGAGCAGGTATACTGTGAATGTGGTGAGCCAGAATCAAAAGATAGCGGTCGTATGCTTGTGTTGTGAATGATGAACTGCCTTGTTCAGGCGCTTAGAAACTGTAAACTTGAGGATCGAAGTTAACGTTCAGTTAATTTCTTTGCATTTTCACAATTAAAGATGTAGTGGTAACATTCTCATCTTCTGTTCAAGGACCGGTTTTCTTAGGTTATTGGCGAGAAATTCTGGTATTCTAATGAGAATTTTTTTAAATCAAAAACGAATAATTACAGGGGAAAAAAACTGGCGGTAGATACAATATGGCATTATTTTTGACAAGTTTTGGTAATAACTACTATTTTCGCAGCGTTTTGTTTTTTATTCTATTGCAGAGCATTCTAGTGGTAGGTCCAACATATCCCTAGTTCAACCTCAGACAACTGAATTCATATACCTCTAGCGATGTATTCAATGGTATTTATTTGTCTTTAAAATTGAGAAGCCATTTTAACCTATTCTATGTTTTAGAGGAATATTTTAACTGAACTTGAGGATATAGCTATTCGAAAATTTTATTTTTAATCATGCATGAAATAGTGTCTAAGTAGAGTATGAAAAAAGTATCGGCATTCTTTTTAAAGTCAAACACAACAGATGTAGTATTGTGTTTCTCAGTATATGACTGTGGATTATTCTCTTCAGGAACGACAACAGAAAACAGATTTTCTAAGTATCTGTTTAATGTTCTCAACTTTGCTTCAAAATGTTTTGATTTCCTGATATCGTAAAGGCACTGTATAGCAGTATTTTCTTTTAAAATATGAAAACATTCCAGTGAAATTGGGTTTATGATAAATGTTAGTGGTAAATATATCCTGTTTATTCAATTTTTAAGAACTGGGGTTTGCCATTGTTTTAATTTTCAACAGTAGACTTTATTCAGGGATGTTTCACATTTAATAACTGGCTTGTTGTTTTTGTTTGTAATTAAGCACAAAGCTACACAATGGGCTATCTGTGCTCTGCCCACCACTGGTATCGAAACCCGGATTCCAGCGTTGTAAGTCCGCACACATACCGCTGTGCCACTGGGTGGGCTAATAACTGGCGAAATTCGTTAACCGGTTCAACATCATCAAACACCACAAAAGTGACGTAAACATACTTCCTGTAAAACCAAGGTTTAAAACGTTCAGAACAGGACTGTAACCTTAACATTTTCATGAAAGTACAGAAAAAAAATTAGGAAGGTCAGGAACAAGGCTGGAATCCATAAACAGTGCATCAATCTGCCCATAGACTTTAGTGTTGGAAATAAAATGGGATTGCTTCGTCGGAATACTTAAAAGTATTTTAAAAAACATTGTTGAATACGAGGTGGTTTCGAAGTAGTTCTACGTTCTGCTATAATAACACTCTTGAGACACCTGTAACCAATTCGCAACAGCCCATCGCGTTTGGCTGGTATCCATTCGTCCGATGGCTTTCCAAATGAGCAAAACATACTAATATATTCTTTGATTCGGGAAGAATTTGGAACACTTTACTTCAGAGTGACGACGGAGACAAGATTATTTGAGACCGCTATATATATATATCTAAGTATGTTGTAAACCATGTACTGTTGTAATTGCATCCATGTTAATAAACTTATCATGTTTATATGCAGCCAGACACAAAACAGATTCTTACCATATGTTACACTGTTACTCAAAAGAGGTAACTTAGAATATTAATTATAAATTCTTAGTGATTCAAACGTGAAAACATCTCAAGTTTCTAGACATTTTATTTGATAGCTCATCATCCATTTTATTTAATAACGATTCAGAATAAACTAGATTAGAAAGTTTTTCATGCTATGGGATCTTGAATTTGATTTTCCTTTTTATTGTTAGTATTTCCTAACTGAAGCTCGAAGTCACACGTTCTTATAACCATTAATTAATCGGAAAAATAACCATTTACTTTATAAACCAAATAAAGTAATGTTAATTGTTGTAAGTAGGATTATTTCTGGTTTACTGTTCATTAGTTGTTTAACCTTATATCACCAGTTAGCCGTAAGAAATCCCTTATAAATGGGAACATGCCCCCAAGTACTGGGGTTTATCAGGCTATTTTAAGGTAATATACAATGAACAGTCTGTAATTAATGTGGCATAATTGTTTCCCTAAGTAATGTACAGTTAATCTTAAATTTTTCCACCTTTATGTAAGGTCATTTTCTTTTATTTAAGTACAGACATAACATCTTTACACGTAATAAATTGTCAATTTATATATTGTACTGCACCGATTATTTGAAAATAAACACGATTGTTGAGGAATAAACTAGTCAGGTGGAAGTTATACTAGTGAAACATCTTCCCGGTTTGCCAACAGCAACAACGAAAAATTCTTATTTAAATTTTACCTATAAAATCAGTCTATCCATGCATATGCCCGAGCTTTTAATATTTGTCTAAAGATTTACAGGGATAAGGCAAATAAGTTAGAACTTAGTATTATTTTAGATTATCTCTAAACTATTCTGAAAAGAATGAAAAAAAAAAACGACGACCATATTCTTTAGCTTTACATTCTAGGTAAGCCTGAACTACCTTTCAGTTTCAGTTCTGAGTAATAAAACTTTCATGACTCGATCGATAACAGAACCGGCCACGCCGAGTTATTAAATACCTTGTTCGTGTGACTCATTCCAGAAAAAGCCCTCATTGGCATCACTTTGCACACTGAATCTGATTTGAATGTAGACGTCGATAGCGGGTGTAGGTGGGGTCATTTTTCATGTGTAATATTGCAAGTAAAAATAAGCGTGAATTTGTTCGATGTTATTTGTCATTAAAGCACCAAAATAATATATTTCTTTAATCTTAATTTAAACAAACCAAATGTATAAGCACAACTTAAAGCAATTTCAAATAACAAAGTAAAAACTAAGCAATAAATCTGTGCAGCAAAACTTGCGGAAGTTAGAGTTCGCTGTTGTTCTGCTGTTTTTGTTTGTTCGTAGTTAAGCGCAAAGATACACACGGGGCTATCTGTGCTGTGCTCACCTCGGGTATCGAAACCTAGTTTTTAGCGTTCTGAGCCTTTAGACTTACCATATACCTTTTACCACAGAGGTCTCTTCTGAACTCTACTTATACCATACCAGTAATTATCTTAATTAATTGTACTCGGCTTAACTAGGAATGGCGAATCAAAGTCAAATATTATAAACACATGAATACATCCAGCCAATCATGTGTTTTCACTGGGTTTCTCAAATTATACTACAATGATTATATATGGTGTATGAGAAACAAACAGTAGCTACAATTCAGTGGTCAATCCTTATTACTCAATCTGTACATGTAACAGTGTTCACTATAGTGCACAATACAAGTAACTGGTGTGTTGTGCACTAATTAATATTTTGTTGTTCATCAGAATTTTCTCGGTAGGAAAGTTTTAATGACCAGAGCCTCTTTTAATCTTAATGTTCTTTCATCTGTTACCTTTAATAGAATGTTAAGATATTAGGATTTAATACCACAGTCACATTTCATAGTATAGGGAAAACTACGTGAGTTGTTATAGATGGAATACAATGTTCTTACAATACTTTGGCAGAAACAATTGGTAGTGGACACTTTGAAGCAGAAAGGGCCTTTATATTTATAAACGATAAGGGATTGTTGCATTTTATTGATTTGGTCCTTGAATGGGAAGAAGTTTCTTAGTTGAAAGGAGTTCGTATAAACACATCAAAGGTGTCTTTGAGAATAGGCCTTATTTCAAAATGTTAAGACTTGTATAACAAGGATTTACTACATGAACAAGGGAGTTAGTTATCGAACGCTTATCAACCGTTTGAGTTGGAGAAGTGCTATTATGTTTAGTAAGTCATGTGTAAAGTAAGTTAATTTTGCTACTCAAGTCGTTAAAACCTTGATAAGGTTATATTTAAACGATTCTAGTATAAATTTTTCATAGTTATAATAAAGACCTGTATATGTTTGTTTCAAAACCTGAAGCGTTACGCTGAACTGTAGTGTTTAGAAATGCGAGTTTGAAATAATTTTCAAATTCAACCGAGAACTTAATGCTAGGATGTTGTTTGGTTAAATATATTAAAGATGAATTAGCCTTAACCTTATTGTGAAATAAAACAAAAGTGTCATAGATGTAGTTTGTGTAATATAAAGGTTTGGTTTGTCCAACCATTGCTTTTCATAGTAGGAAAGGAAAAGTCTGCTAGTGTTGTGGCAAGGCAGAAAGAAGCCCATAGCCACACCATCTACCTGATCATAGACATTAAATTCGAATGCTCTGACAGTCTATTTAAGACAATAGACGAAAATCATTAAGGTTCAAAGAGGCTATGGTAATTATAACTTTCCAGCCAGAAATAAAAATCACAGAGAATTCTTTTAACATGTTAATTAGAATACATTCATTAACATAAGCCAAGGTTTAAAGGGATTCATACAGTCACCTAACCTTATCACATTACACAAAATAACTGCTTACTGTCATTGTGACCCGACACACAAGAGGGGGGCACTTCCCCCCTGGAAAATGGGAGACACAATTCTTTCTTTATTCATTCAGCATATATGAATTTTTTTATTTAATTCACAATTTCACACTACTTCGCTCCTCCCCCACCCCCGAAAACTTTGTCCTTCCCTGGAAAAATTTCTATTTATAATTATAAATAGTAATTTGTTTGACTGATACATTTACTATAAAGCAAATTTTAATCTTTATAACTAATGAAACTATCTGTCTGTAGCGCCGGATATGCTATCCGAAGCCGGCAGAACAGAACTTGAGGAACAGGAGCTGTGTTCTAGTTGCAGCATGTCTAGTACCAACGGTGTGAAATTTCCGGAAGAAGATTTGGTGGTTCCTAAGAAGCTGCCCAATCCATGCCAAGAATCGGTCGAGAGGAAAAGTGTACACCGAGAATTGTTATTTAATTACAAAATGTAAGCTTCATTATTAAAAAAAATTTCAGGTGGTGAATAATGATTCATTTTGTATGGTGTAACGAGCTTCATCCATCTATGGTAGGTTGAAAAAAAAAAGGTGTTTCGAACTACTATCGTAGATATTGATCAGAATCTGATAACTAACTTTTTAACACGTAATCTGACATGTTCCCGATTAACTATTGCCAGTGGATAAAACTCGTTATATATAAATACAAGTTATTTATTATTATTACTTACACATAGCCTTTACTATCTAGTAACTGCGATATGAAGTGGTTAATGTTGATTTATAACTACAATAAATACGTACATGTAAGATGGGTCAACATTGATAATGTGGTATGAAAATAATACTTGCTTCTACAATCGTAAATCAGTACCTTTATGTTTAGACCTTTGCTTTGCTGGCCCATTTTTATGCTTTGAAACACGGCGTGAAATGTTTGAATTTTAGAGAGATTAGACATTATTTTCAACTAAGATACCATTTGAGTAGCGAATGATCTACATGTATCACAGTACTGAGAAAAACAAAGACAATTGTACGTTCCACAATTATTCCATTAATTACTAGCATGGATTTGCCGGTAATACATTATCACCGGCCAAAACACAGTAGTGATAAATGAAATATTTGTGAAAGACACAGTTGTCTTTGTTTTCGTCAATTCTGTAATTATAGAGTTTCACCATTTATCGACTGTTTTAAGCATTAATTATGTCCACACACACAACACAGATTTGTAACTTTATTAATTATCATTGTAACGCTAATGAACCTATTACGCACACACACATATATATATATATAAAACCTTGTAACATTTATTCAGTGGCAATTTTTTTCTTCCACGTACGATATTTTTAAGTTATAATAGCTGTAAGGATGACAACTAAGCTATAACTCTTCTCGTTCGGTCTTTACCAAAATTAGTAAAAGCATCACGCTATACGATGGTTTGTTTG